TTCTCTGAGGGTCATATGGTTGACTGTCTCCTTTTTCTCTAAGGTAGTTTGGAACAATTATTCCTGAAGCAAAACAATTTTTCTATATTTTACCTTTTGTTCTCGCTACTTTTTATCAAGTTTTTACAATGCTCTAGAGCTGCTCATTTTAATACAGAAGCAAACTGCTTTGGTCTTCTTTCTGAAGTGAGCCCTCCCCGTGTGACTTTCCTGTCCTTAAACCCTACAGAGCCTTTCAATTGCTCCAAATCAAACTCTTCACACAAAATGCCGGGGTTGGTCCAGTAGCTGAGCTCAAGTGGTTCCAACTTCACTGAGTTTTTGATGTGTATTGTTATAAAATACAGTAAAAATTGGAGTAGTCACTAACTCATTGTTAGGAATTGTACTGTTTACCTTTTGAGCCCCTTTTTGTGGCTTTCTGCTCTCCCTTCTAGCCTCTGTTCGACTCATTTCTTCCCTTGTCAGCCTGAACTCTATTTGCCAATATGGAAAGTGCTTTTTCAAAATCATCTAATCTTTTCATGCACTTCTTTCACTAAAGGAACACTAGCTCAAGTCTACAATTTACTTTTTCTACTACTATTGCTGAGTGAGCCCAGTGAAATGATGTCAAATAACTGCCATGACAAATTCCTGGTTCCCAGTAGGCCAAGTCTTTTTTTTTTTTTTTTTTTTAAAGATTTATTTGAAAGTCAGAGTTTTACAGAGAGAGAGGCAGAGAAGGTGGGGTCTTCCATCCGCTAGTTTACTCCCCAATTGGTCGCAATGGCTGGAGCTGTGCCAATCTGAAGCCAGGAGCTTCTTCAGGGTCTCCCACATGGGTAGAGGGGCCCAAGGACTTGGGTCATCTTCCACTGCTTTCCCAGGCCATAGCAGAGAACTGGATTGGAAGTGGAGCAGCTGGGACTTGAACCAGTGCCCAAATGGGATGCTGGCATTGCAGGCAGTGGCTTTACCCACTACACCATAGTGCTGGCCCCAAGGCCGGCCCCTTGTCAATACTTTCACCTTTAATGTTATTTGGGATTTGGAATTCATTGGTTATATTAATTACCATAATAGGGACCATGACCATTGCAGAAACAATATATTCCATTTCTCTTTCACCTAACAGTCCAAAGATAGAGCATTCCAGGCTAGGATATGCGGTAGCTGTGATCTTTGAAGCCATCCACGGAGACAGGTTCTTTCTTTTTATTTTATTTTATTTTATTTTATTTTATTTTATTTAATGAACATAAATTTCCAAAGTACAGCTTATGGATTACAATAGCTTCCCCCCCCCCATAACTTCCCTCCCACCCACAACACTCCCCTCTCCCACTCCCTCTCCCCTTCCATTCACATCAAGATTAATTTTCAATTACCTTTATATACAGAAGATCAATTTAGCATATATTAAGATTTCAACAGTTTGCACCCACACAGAAACACAAAGTGTAAAATACTATTTGAGTACTATAGCATTAATTAAACACCTAAGAGTAATTGTGTATTATTACAGAGTTCAACCAATAGTTTTAAGTAGAACATAAAAAATACTAAAAGGGTAAAGTATTAAGTTCTTTTTTTCTGTTTCTTTTTTTGTTTGTTATATAGTTTTTTTTTTATTTAATAAATGTGAATTTACAAAGTGCAGCTTTTGTATTGTTGTGGCTCCCCCCCCAACCTCCCTCCCTCCCATGGCCCTCCCCTCTCCCACTCCCTCTCCCATCCCGCCCTTCATCCAGTTTCATTTTCAATTACCTTCATATACTGAAGATCAACTTAGTATATACTAAGCAAGGATTTCAACAGGCTGCACTCACACAACCGCACAAGGTATAGGGTATTGTTCAACTAGTAGTGTTGTTTTTAAGTTTCATAGTAGAACACGTTAAGGACAGAGATCCTAGGTGGGGAGCATGTACCCAGTGACTCCCGTTGTTGATTTAACAATTGGCACTCTAATTTATGACGTCAGCAATCACCCGAGACTCTTGCTATGAGCTGTCTAGGCTATGGAAGCCCCTTGAGTTCACCGACTCTGAACTTGTTTAGTCAAGGCCGTATCACAGTGGAGGTTCCTTCCTCCCTTCAGAGAAAGGCGCCTCTCTCCTTGATGGCCTGAGACAGGTTCTTTCCATCTTGTCCCACATTTCCCAGTGAATGACCCTCATTGTCCCAGGAGTGATCTGCTTTGTCTACATTCCAGGCAGCAGCATAGAGGAAGAAGCAAATGGGTTCCTTGCTCCATTTAAAAAATGTTTTAAAATTTATTTTTACTTGAAAGGCAGAAACAGAGAGAGAGATCTTCCATCCACTGGTTGACTCTCCATATGTGTGCAATAGCTGTGGCTGTGGCAGACTCAAACTAGGAAGAAGCCAGGCACTTGATCTGAGTCTTCTATGCAGGTGACAGGGACTCAAGTACTTCAACCGTCACCTGTTGCCTCTCGGGGTACACATTAGCAGGAAGCTCGGGTCAGAAGTGGAACCAGGACTCAAACCCGGGCACTCTGATATGGGATGTGGCATCCAAAGTGGCATCTTCACCACTCCTTGCTTCTTTTCTTAATGGCACTATCTGGAAGTTGTACATATCACTTATGCTTATATCCCATTAGCTACAATTTATTCTTATGCCACAAACAGCTACAAGGACAGCTGAGAAAGCCTTTGAAAAAACAATGATTTAAAAAATTCAAGTACAAAATATATACTGGAAAACACAAAAATAAGTGCACAGTTTGTTGAACTTTCAATAGCAGAATGTGCATCCATAACCAGCATGTGCAATAACAGAGAATTATCAGGATGCCACAACCCTCCTTGTGCCATTTCTGGGCCCTGCCCTCTTGCCTGAGGCAGCTACTTTTCTTAAAGTATTGTTTCACCTGCTCTCCTTCTTCATATAAATACAATTACACACATATCATTTATATCTGGATTCCTTGGCATGGAATTACGTGACAATTAGTTCTACTGTTGTATGGCTGTTTTCAACCCAAAATTCTATAAAAGAGGAAAAAAGGCTATCAAATCTGTGTCACGGGCTTGAATGTATCCTTCTAATTCTCTTTTCCAAAGTCCCTTCCCACTTCTTTTACCCTGTACGATGATTTTTCTCTTCCAATTTGCTATAATATGCCTTATCTATACCTACATATTTCCTTCATTCTAGCCTTAAATGAACTGGCACAGCATCACTTCTACCATATTTCTGTTACAGTGGTGTTAGCCCAAATTCAAGGGGTATAAAAATAAGACCCAGATCTTAATGGGCCACTAGGCATTAAGACTATGTGGGGTGGGAAATATGGGCAGCTACCTTTAGAAGTGTCACACCTAGCTTCACAGGATCTGAACAGCTATTTAAAACCACAGTAACCATATTTAAAACTGTGAGAAATGAGTCATTGTTTTAAGCCATCAAATTTTGGGGTGATTTGTTATGCAGTGATAAATCACTGCAAAGCTGTGTGTATCAGTTACCTACTGTGACAAGAATGCTGTACAACAAACCAACCCCAAACTGTGGCTTGTAATTGTAATGATTTATTATTGCTTATAAATCCACAGATCAACTGGGTGTTCTGCAAATCTAAGCCAGGCTTAGCTAATCTTGGTTGCTACCGGGTGTATGTGCAGTCAGCTGGCAGGGGGCCAGGGGTGGGGGTGGGGTTGGAGGGAACGGCTTGTCTAGCATAGCCTCTCTCACATGTTGGCTACCAGAGGTGACTGGACCACATGTCTCTCAGGACCCAGTAGGCTAGGCTGGGTTACCATAGTAGCTGAGTGGAATTCTTAAAAAAAAATGCAAATGTATAAAACCTTCAGAAATCAACTAAAGGTTTGCATTCTGTTATTTTCTCTGCTTGCTTTCTTTTCTTTCTTTCTTTTTTTTTTTTTTTTTGGGTCAAAACAAGTCATAAGACAGTCTTCCAGATTTAAGTGGCAGGTAAATAAGCTCAATAATCTCTTTGTGGCAGAACTGTAGTCACTCGGCAAAGGTGGTGAGAAAACTTAAGGGTGAGAAATGAGATAAACTGCAATAAATCTTTCCTAAATAAGGAAAAATCTTTTTGCTTTACTGATAGTTATAAAGGGTAAAACACTTCCAATGTGGCAGACAATAGCTAAATTGTGTTTAATGCTGTCCTATTTCTACCAAAATTCACAGATGGGCAACTATATTCTTGAAAATACCTTGAAGAAAAGATTTTAAGCCTCTAAGTTATTTACCCTCAGGTTTAACAACTGCAAGGCTACTTCAAAAGTTCACAGATAAAGAAACTTTATTTTAGAACAAAATTTTTTGAAATCCATGTATAGTTTTTAACAATATAAAATTTTCCAGAGCTAGAGCATTGGTGTAGTAGGCCAAGCCTCTGACTGAGGCACCAGCATCCCATACAGGCGCCAGTTTGTGTCCCAGCTGCTCCTCTTCCGATACAGCTATCTGCTATGGCCTGGGATAACAGTTGAAAGTAGAAGATGGCTCAAGTGCTTGGGCCCCTGTACCCACGTGGGACACCCAGAAGATACTCCTGGTTCCTGGCTTTGGATTTGCCCAGCTCCAGCCATTGCGGCCATTCGGGGAGTGAACCAGTGGGTGGAAGACCTTTCTTTCCATCTCTCCCTCTGTCTGTAACTCTACCTCTTAAATAAATAAATTAAAAAAAATCTTAAAAAAATATTTTCCATAAACTTTTTAAAGATCCCTGTATTAATCCTCACAAGTTCTTATAAACATATAAATGCAGTCATTTTTCTTTCTACTCAGCTCTCATTACCCTATTTTTTCTCTTCTTTCCTATTCTTAATCCATTTGAAGAGGAATAAGCTAAGTTTTCTTCACCATGAAAGGTACCTTAAGCTCTAGGGATTCAATAAAGCTTCCAACACCATAAGTATGACAAAAAACAAGAAGTTACAAATAAAAAGTAAATGAATTCCTCTTAACTAAGTGTGAAGCAATTAAAGAAACTGAGTAAGTAAACTAAACAATTCAGAAGTCAATAAAATTGGACTTTAATGAATAATCTTGATAACACTGTTTATGCACAGATATATAAGTATAAAACACACATTAAAAAATTAACATTCTCTCTACAAGTACTTCTTAGAACAGCCATGATTGACTTTAACATGATACATATTTCAGAGCTTAAAACCCACAAAATTCACAACTTCTGCACAATTCATATTGAGACACATATATTTATTATCCTAATACTTGAATATACTCTTTTAACATTTGACTTGTTACTCTTATTAGTAGGTTTGCCTTTTTAGGGTTTTCCTAGGAGAAAATACAATAAAAAAGTATCTATCCAGATAAGCTATCATTCTTTAAACAGTATTTAGGAACAACATGGTTGTAAAATAGCTCAATTTTGAAAAACACTGACAAAATGCTGGAGTGTTATTCTTAGTTGCAGGACCTCCTTTTAATTTTTTTAATAAAAAATGAATATAAGAAAAATAATTTTGCCCTGTCATTGGTGGGCTGAGATCCACCTATCCTGTTTACAATTCAACATATAAGAGTGTCTGCTTTAAGAGAGAGCAACACTGAAAGGTAACAGGAAATTGACAGGCTGACTTTAGAGAAGCATTTGTTCCACTATATTTAGTCCCTCTTTTAGGTTTTACCAACACATCTTTGATTTAACATGCAAACAGTGCCCACTTTCCTTAGAGATACAAAACATGCTTACCTCTTTTGACAGCTCCAGTATTAACTGCAAAGAAAGGTTATTATGAAAACTCAATTCTAGGTTCCCCAACTACATGTTAGCACCACAAGTAGCTATCAGTGTTTTAAGAGGAGTATTATTGGCATTGTGGGTGAAATAATTCTTAGTCAAGTGGGACTATGCAAGGAACTGCAGAACATCTAGCTTTCTTGGCCCACACACTAAAATCCCACAGTCTTCAAAGTCATTGTGACAACTGAAAACCATACTCAAACATTTCCAAATGCCAGTTGATGAGAACCACTGACTTAGATTATTCAAGACTATTATATATTAACTTCATGACTTCCACAGAAAGTAACTGTTTCATTATCTTCAGTAACAATGACTGAAGAGAAACATATTTTAAAAACCACTGTAATTAAATGTTTCTTTGGAAAGATAAGCCAATTTCTTCAAACTTACGATGATATGAAAGGATCAAATGCACAAAGTGCAATACTTATTTATCCTCAAATGCTCACATACATTTACAGGAAATGTGTATGTTCTACTGGCATATCTTACCATTGATCTTTAGTATAAAAATATGTTCATCTATTACAATAAGATAAAAAACATGTAGATATTCTTGATAAGTTCCCTCACACTGGTGCTCCTGGGAACTGCTGCTGTCTTTGCTCCAAAACTTGCTGATTTAATAGTTGTTGCTGTTTCTGTAAAAACTGCACTACTTCTGGACTTCTCAGTAATGACTTAAAGAGAAAAAAGAAAAAAAATTATTAATAACATGATTTTTATGTGCTAAGACTGTATTAATGCTACAGAATTACTCTCATGTATCATTACACAAAATACAATATGCTTACCAAACAAAATGTACCTGAATCCAATTCACATTTGTATTTGATACACCATAATTAAGCTGATGTCATACATCAAAACACAAAAACCTAAAAATAATGGGTGAAGCCTGAGGTTACCAGATTTTGCATACTAAGGAAATGCTTTTTTAATATGCCAGCAAAATATTATCTTGAAAGATATAGGAACAAACAGTAAGGCCAAATAGGGGCCACACGTGAAAATCACAATTAAATGCCAGTTTGCACACACATAAGCCAGTACTAGAATTCAAGATTTTCCTAGTAGCCCACTAAGTCTCATGAAGAAATCAAAAATTGTGTATATGCATGTATGTTTGTGTGTATGTATAAATAAAAGTAATATTGGCATATTATGAAAATTTCAGAATAGAAAGAATACAACTACTGTCAAACAACAAATACATTTTGTGCAGTTACCATTTTTAAACATAGCTGTAATCATATAATAGATTACAGTTAATATGATTTTATTAAACAAAATATTTATACAAATTAACAAAGAAAGAAGGTCCCAATAAATTGAAAAAGATAAATGGAACAAAGTGGAAATACTATCAATAAATACTGATTTTAAAATTTCAAATACTGTGGATTATGTATTATTTCATATACATTCAATTACTATTAGTTTGGTTAAAAAATTACATATAAAGACAACATAATGTCCCAATAAGTAACTCTACTTAGCTATGATGAGAATGTTGGACATTTAAGTTATCTCAACTACTATTTTACCATTTCTGATAATTACATTCTTGGCAATAACCCTAGCCAGTTAAGACTTTATTCATATTTAGGATTCATTTTCTATGACTGTCTTCACATTAGGGTTGATTTCTGAGCCACAAGGAATGACCATTTAAAGACTTGATACATACTGCCCAATTACTCCCTAGAAGTACTGTACCAATACACAATGCCATTGGCAGCAGTCCTCAAAATCACTGAAATAATTTTCACTTATTGTTAGTTGTATCATGTTTACTGATATTTAATCTATCCATATGAGTTAGTGGTAGTATTTTGTTTTCTTTTTTTCTGTTTATATCTTGTGCAATGTATCATGGCCCAGGTTTTTACCTCACCAAATTTTATGAATGTTTTATATAATAAATACATAAGCTATAGTAATCATAATCCTTTAAATTTGTTGTGAATATTTTTCCTGTATCTTACCTTTCTTTTTTATTTTTGCCACCATTTTTGATTATAGCACTTGTTTTTATGCAGTAAATTTATAATTTTTTCTCTGTAATTTTGTCCATTTAAGTTAAAAAAAAATCCCATTCAGGATTATTTTTTTTTTTTTTTTTTTTGCACGGCCAAAGTGGACAGTGAGAGAGAGAGACCAGAGAGAAAGGTCTTTCTTTGCCGTTGGTTCACCCTCCAATGGCCGCCGCGGCCAGCGCGCTGCCGCCGGCGCACCGCGCTGATCCGATGGCAGGAGCCAGGAGCCAGGTGCTTTTCCTGGTCTCCCATGGGGTGCAGGGCCCAAGCACCTGGGCCATCCTCCACTGCACTCCCTGGCCACAGCAGAGGGCTGGCCTGGAAGAGGGGCAACCGGGACAGAATCCGGCGCCCCGACCGGGACTAGAACCCGGTGTGCCAGCGCCGCAAGGCGGAGGATTAGCCTAGTGAGCCGCGGCGCCAGCCCCTCATTCTAGATTTTTGAGATTAAAGTCCCAATTCTACTTTGTTTAAATATTAAGACTGTATCAGAAATTAATTTTGATGAACAATGTGATGTGATTAAATTTTTGTCCTCAAATTATCATCCAATTATTCCAGTATTTATTGCAAAATCTTTTCTTTCCTGACTGAGGTGTGATGTGTTCCATCAAATTAATAATCCAGATCTTTATTAAATACTGGTCTTTAGCACTATTAAAGCATTATTCCATAATCCTCAGAAGTCAGTACAAGGAGAATGTGTTTTAAAATTACCTCTTGCTCAGATATTCAAGGTTTAGTCAATGAAGAAGCAGAATTTAAAATGTCTCTGCTCTTTTAGTCTTTGGGGAGCATTCATCAGACTCTAGTGTGCATTGGTGGCAAAAAGGTACACAATTCTGCTGAACAGTTTAGCAAGTTTTAGAACCTTAAAAATCTAAACAGTTACATTTACACCCAGTAGATCTGCAACCACTTCATAGATATTTACCAGTCTCTTCTGATTTAGCACTTGTTCTAAAAGAGTAGGTCTTGCAGGACGATCCCCAAAAGATCCAGTTCTTTGTTTAACAATGGAGAGTAAGTTATCTGCACTTTCCTGGGATAAATGACAAAAATGCAAATGAGATTAACAGTTAACATAATATTATAGTCCACAATTATAGGCATTGCAATGAGGTAATGAATAGATCCTTGCTTCTCTTCCTTTTGCCCAGTCACTGTGAAACTTTGGGAAAACACTGCAAGATGTTGGCAGTTGATTTTTATTTAACAGTCCTTATCTCTCATCTCTCCCACCACTATTTCCAATCTGGATTCTTCAGAAGGGTCTCCAAATTAATAGTGGGGGTAGAGGGGGGAGGAGAAAGGCAAAGAGTTTCTTATTAGCTTGTTTCAATATTTCAAAAATGCCAAGTGGAATTCTCTTCATGAAAGGCATGCAGGCCAAAACTTGAGAGTTTGCCTGCCTTTATTTGGAACAAATGAACTCAAACACAATTTACATATTGCAAATGAGACACTCTATAATAGATAGTTCTTTGCCCAATTAAAGAAAAAGATGAAAAGGGTAATAAAGACTGCTGAAAGACACAATTGATAAAAGCTTTAAAAATTTGGAAGTCATTCAGAGAAAAATTATAAACTGGCTTGAAAAGGCTAGAATGCACTGATGCAGTCTCCTGCCACTGATGATGAAAAAATATTGTCCTAAAATGACCCCATTACCCATTTACTACCAAATATGCATTTACTACCAAATGTGTACCCCTAGTCACTTGACTGAATCTTAAACACTTAAAATTTTCCTGCTATAACAAAATTCTGTTCTAGTTAACTAAAACATTCTGACTCTCTTAAACTAGGACATACCAGTGACCACAGCCAAATAGCCTTACTGAGCAAATACAAAAAACTACAAAAAATTCTACCACTAAGCCATGCTATATATGAATTTAATATCTTTCCCTTTTATTTGTTATTATTCAAGCTGCTTTCTCTCTTGGCCTTCTCTGTACTGGCCTCTGAATTGTCTCTAAATCTTTGTAAATCAAGAGTTAGTAAAATGTATTATTTCATAAGAATATGCATTCAAGGATATTTTTAGCCCAAATCCACAGGGTCTAGAACTCCATGAATTTGTATGCAAAATTAAATATCTACTCATGTGCATTTCTCTAGGAGGAGTCTTCACTGGGTTTCATCAAATTCTCAAAGGAATTCCTATATCCCAGTATTAAAATTCAATAGGATAAAAGGGAAAGAAAGGGCATTCAGTACCCTAACCAGTGTGAATTAGGGGAAGTGCCTGTGACATTCGAAAACAATTACAAAGAGTGAAATTTGAGCAAAGTGCCGTTGTTCAAGTTCAGCCTAAAACTAAGAAACTTAAAAATATTTGAAATAGATCATAGGGCAGCTTTCACTTTAAAACTTTTTAAGTTTTTATTAGTTTCTGGATCACTTTTTAACAAAATTCAATCTTATGCACGGGGGACTTACAAGTCTTATTAAACATACGGGATAAACTAGCTGCTTATTTTTAACAATATCAAAATACAGTGCTAATAATGTCAACAATATGGCTATGGTTTTTTGACTTTCACTATCTGCTAGACACTGTGTGAACAATCCTATGTGGAATCTCTTACATAGTCCCAGTAACACGATGAACTCGGTACTATTTTTATGCCAGTTTTTACAAATGAATAAGCTGAAATTTAGTTTATAACTACTTCAAGGCCATTCAAATGAATGATCTGCAGTCAGAAGTGCAACTCCAGAGCACTGGCTTTAATTTTAAACACAGTGCTAATCAAACCATCTTGAGTCCTCTGAGGTTTACAGCCCATTATCTATCATTTAATCTTTTCCCCTAGGAGTATGAAGAAAAGGGACAGTGAGAACAAGGCATCCAGCACAGGGGTACTGACAACAGGACACGCAGCATGGGAAGTCCTGCAAACGGGGTACTAAGCAGAAGAGTACCGCAATAAGGGTACTAAGCACAGGACACTGAGAACAGGATGCTGAAAACAAAAGAGGTACCTTCTCCAAAGCACTAATTTCATCCAGATTCCTAAGCCTCTCTGCCTATTCCCACAGCCATAAATCAGATAAATCATTTGCTATCTCTTTCCAATCCATATCCTTATGACAGGTCTGCTGAAAATTTACTCGCTTATCACAAGGCTGCAACAAATTAAGATGTTGCATATGTCCCTAGTGCAGGCATTCCCTCTCGGCCACTAGCCCAGCCCCAGCCACCTGGCTCCTGTGGGAGCAGGTGGCAGGCCTTGGGGGTGGCGTTTGCCGCAAGAGTGGGGTTTCTTCTGCCACTGCTTCCTCCCCGGGGTCCCGACAGGGTCTGATACCTCCAGTTTAACGTTTCCGGTGCTGCTGGCTGAGGCGGCCCCACCGCAATTCAAGGCCTGGTCGCTCTTCTTCTTTTTGTACTTGTCCTTGTACATTTTGTTGCGGTGCTTCTTGCACATCCACGGCTTGCGCTGCTTGGCCACCTGGCTCGTGGTCTCGCTGCAGCCCTCATACGTGCAAGTCTTGCTCGTGCCGCTCCCGCCGCTGCCTCGCCTCCGCGCTGCTCCGCCGCCGCCCTCGCCCCCTGAGTGGGTCTCCTCATCCTCCAGATCCTCCAAACTAGCCGTGCTCTCGCCACCCCCGGGGGGGTCCGAAGTGTCCAGCAAGTCAGCCTCGTCCTCCCCTGCCTCCTCGTCCGCATCCCCTGCCACTTCACACAGGTACCTAACAGGCTTGCCCGATCCGACGCAGCCCCCCGAGCCCTGGGCCGGCCTCAGGACGCCCTCGGCTGCAGCCTCGTCCTGCGCCCCACACGAGTGCATCACCAGCAGGGTGAACTGCGAGGCCGGGGCCCCGACAGTGGCTGGAGTTCGGGCCCGCGCCGCGGCAGGGCCCGGAGCCCCGGGGCGGGGCACGCCGCCAGCAGCGCCCGGCCCCGGCCCCGGCCCCGGCCCCTCCGCGATACTCTGCACCTCCGTGCTGCTGAATCTTGGTAGGGGTCCGCGACCCCAGACTTTAAGCACCTGAGAGGCCCAACGGCACTTCGCAAACCGCGGACTCCGGACACGCGAGAAAATAAGGCGCGGCTTGGCGCAGGCGCCCCGAGTGCGCCTGCGCGGCCGTGGCCCGCGCGGGAGCGTCTCCACGCCGGCGGGCCCTCAGGGAACCCTACTCTCAGAGGGCGGGGCTGAGCGGTGACCTGGCGGCACCGACTGCGCATGGGCGGCTCCTGACCCGGTGGTGCCAGCGCTGGGCCGGTGCCCCCAATACCCAGGTGGCTTTGCTGCAAGTGAGTTTGGCAAGACATTGTTTTGTGGTTGTTTTTTTAACCGGAACCTGCCGACGTCTAAAACGTTTCAAAGCACCTTCTTATTGGGATTCCGCTGTGTAAATTAAGATTGTGCTTTGTGGCGCTAGCATGCTAATCATGACGATGTTTTGCCCCTGAAATGGGTACTTGGTATCCCTGGTATCATGAGTTTGCTGTGCATAAGGGCAGAGGTGGCTTATTTGAAAATAGTCGAGTGGAGAAGGAGTGGGCCAAACCTGCCACCAAGCTGTATATGGATTGAGAGTTAAATGATTTTACTCTTGAAAGTTGTTCTTCTTTCCTGGAAATGTATTTATTTGATTTTTTTAAAAGTTTGTTCTCATTTATTTGAGAGGCAGAATGACACAGAGCGAGTGAGACAGAGAGAGGCAATCTTAACATCTGCTGGTTCACTCCCCTAAATGTGGCCGACCGGTGGGGCTGGGCCAAGCTGAAGCCAAGTAGCCTCAACCCAGGTACTTGAGCCATCGTCTGTTGCCTTCCAGCTGCATTAGCCAGAAGCTGGATGGATAGGGAAGGTGGGACTTAATCCTAGGCATTCCGTATGGGATGTGGCCTCCCAAGCAGCCGCTTAACCCAGTGCCAGTGCTTGCTCCATATTACTTGTTCTTTGCTATGGCTGTGAAGGTAAGTTTAAACAACATTCTTATTAAATGCAATGAAGGTGTGTGAGAAGAAACATAGAATGACTAATTTTTTTAAAGGTTTATTTGAAAGTCAGAGTTACACAAAGAGAGGAGAGGCAGAGAGAGAGAGGTCCTCCATCCAATGGTTCACTCCCCAGATGGCCACAACGGCTGGAGCTGCACTGATCAGGAGCCAGGAGTATCCTCCGGGTCTCCCACGTGGGTGCAGGGGCCCAAGGACTTGGACCATCTTCCACTGCTTTCCCAGGCCATAGCAGAGAGCTGGATCGGAAGAGGAGCAGCTGGGACTAGAACTGGCGCCCATGTGGGATGCCAGCACTTCAGGCCAGGGCTTTAATCTGCTGCGCCACAGTGCTGCCCCCCCAAAAAATCTAATTTCTAACAGTTACTGTGCAATGATTGGTCACGAAATCTTGTCTTGGCCAAATCTCAGAAGGAAACAGATCCTGCTTTATCTGAAACAAAACTAAGTAGTAGATATTCTCTTTTTATTTATTCCTTCCTATCACCTGCTAAAGTTTCCTATTTGACCAAAATGAAAGGAAAGCATTGACTATTTATTCAGTAAGTGATAAATCCATTTATACAAAGACGGTTGGGGATTGATGAGGGGGGTAAATTGCAACTAACATTTTGAGGGCTAGTGTTGTGGTGCAGTGGGTTAAGATGACATATGTGGCATCAGCATCCCATAGAGTGCCAGTTCAAGTCCCAGCTGGTCTGCTTCCAATTCAGTTTTCTGATAATGTGCTTGGGAAAGCAGTGGGTGATGGACCCCTGTCATCCGTGAAGAAGACCCGGATGTACTTCCAGGCTTCTGGCTTTGGGCTGGCCCAGTCTCAGCTGTTGTGGCCATTTAGGGTATAAACCAGCAGATGGAACAATTCTTTTCCTCACTGTCTTTCCCTCTCTCCTTTTCACTATGTGCCACTCCCACCACCCCACCCCATCACTCTGCCTTTCAAATAAAGTGAAACATTTTTTAAAAACGCGTTTTGAGGAGAGGCACAGTGGGAGAAGATTTGGAATTCAACACACCTAGGCGGTGGCATTGCCCTGTATGGCCAGAATATGTTAGTAACATGTTAGTGACAGCCTCTTTAGCTTAATTTCCTCATTGATAAAATATAGTATGGTGTGTAGAACCATTACAAAAAGCTATTACTAAAATTCCAGGAACTTTATGAGCCAGAATGATAAATACTGTCTTTGTTGAATCAAGTTACATAAGCTTACAACTAAGTTATGTAAGAAACAAGGATTAAAAATGCAAAATTTACCACTTTCTAAATATTTTACCATTATGTGTGCCCTTAAGGTTATATCTGTTCTATCAGTATGTGGAAATTCATATAATGTTGTTACACTATCCATCTCTTCTTCATACTCACTTTAGTGATGTCATGTTGGTCTCTTAAAATCAGCCACGATGGGAATATTTACATCATAGAAATTGCCAAGTGTTACAAGGGAAAGTTTGACATATTGTTTATTTGTCTCTAGATATTTTTATTTATTTATTTTATTTGAAAGGCAGAGAAACAGACAGACAGAACTCTCATCCACTGGTTCAGTCTGCAGATGCCTGTAACATTCAGGGCTGGGCCAGGCTAACATCAGCAGCTAGGAACTCAATTGGGGTCTCTTACACGGGTGGCAGAAGCCCAGTTACTTGAGTTGTCACCTGCTGCCTCTCAGTGTGCACATTAGCAGGAAGCTGTGGTCAAGAATGGAGCTGGGACTTGAACTCAGGCACTCCGATATGGGATGCAAGTGTACTAAGCGGAATCTTAACTGCTACACCAAATGCCCACCCCTCTGTCTAGATTTAAGAAAGTGATAGTAATGAGGAAAAAATAGGATAACGTGCTCTTGAACATGTTAATGAATAGTAAACCTAAAAATGTGCATGTTCATGACTGTCACATTGTGAATAGTGCCCCCAAATTGGGAAAATATTCTCTCAGTATTTGAGGACTACCATTGGATTCAGCAAAGAAATTGCTTAAAGATTTAATACATCTTCATTGTTTCACTTCTCTTTTTCTTCTCAATGTAAACAAAAATGTCAATCAGTATTCATGTCAAAAATACCCTCATAAAAATGCACTCATTTGTTGTTGATGTAGGTGACTTGTTATTGAGCTGGATAGAAATCAAACATTTATTTGTAGTTTGAAGAACTACAAATTATAAAATCTGAGAGTGGCTCTTGCAATAAATAGCAAGCCACATTGAATTATGGTATATGGAACTTAGAGAGAATTGTATATTTTATCATTGTTGGTTAATTGTGCACTAAACATTCTTTATGTCATGTAAGCACCCAGATGGAACACCAAAGTTGGTATAAAGATGATTTTAAGCTGAAGACTTTTGAGATTCGAGACATACATAAAGAAACTTTTTCAGAGCTTCCCTTATCTGACAAGAAGAAATTTCTGAGAAATGAGGACTGCCAGGAGTTCCCTCTTTTATGTTCTTTGTATTCCCAGGAGAGAGACTGTATTAGTCAGCTTTTTGCTGCTTTAACTTAAATACCCAAGAGGAGCTTCTTGGAAAGGAAAGGTTTGTTTCAGCTTACAGTTGGAAGTTCACAGTTTAGGGTCTTCTGGTGAAGGAGGGACATAGTGAGGCAGGTGTGGAAGAGCAATCACATGGTGAACCGGAGAGTGGAGAGGAAACCTGGGCCAAACTGCTCAGAATAGAGGCCAGCAGGCTGACGTGGAACAGCAGATCAAGCTGGTGAAACTGGCATCCCATTTCAGAGGGCTGGTTCCAGCCCTGACTGCTCTGCTTTCAGTCTAGTCTCCTGCTGCTGTACCTGGGAGGATGGTGGAAGATGACCCGAGTGCTTGGGCCTTGCCACTGATGTGGGAGAACAGTTTCAGCTGGGCCCAGCCCTGCCTGTTGTGGTCCTTTAGGGAGTAAAGCATTGGTTGGAAGATCGCTCTCTGTTTCTCTCTCTCTCTGCCTTTAAAATCTATAAATAAATATTTTTGGAAGGAAAGAATAGAGGCTACAGGGCCAATCTGAGTGTTTGTGATTTGGTTTTGGTTTTACCCAAGTGTCACTCCTTTAAATTAGTCAGCTTCTCTTGAAAGAGGAAATACAAGTTAAAGGAGATGTACTGGGCCTGATAAAGTCTACATCAAAGGCATTAGGAGTTGGGGATCAGCTTCAATTTCATTAACCCTTCCAAGTAAGGCATAAGGATAGGAGGAGCTAAAGCTGAGAAGCAAAACCTTGCCTGATGAGTGCTATTGTTGTTTGTAGTTAGGGCCCTTGATGTGGTTGCTGCCCTGATTCTGGTTTTCTTTCTGAGTGCTTCTGTGAGTTCTGTTCCCCTGATTTTAGTGATAACCTTTATTTAGCATGTTTCTGCTGGTGGGTCACAATGCCCTCATATATATGGTCCTCTCGGACAAAGTCCTTTCAGAATAACTCAAGCCCAGCTGTCTTACCCCACCGTGGATGGGAAGAGTAGTAGGCTTCTGTTGCTCATGCTCTTCCCACCATTTTAAACCTCTAACAAGACAGCTTTTTTTTTTTTTTTACTAATATTTATTTACTTGAAAGGCAGAGTTATGTATATATATATGTAGAGAGAGATATATCTTCCATTTGCAGGTTCACTCCCCAAAAGGCTGTAATGACCAGGACTGAGGCAGGCTGAAGCCAGGAGCCTGGAACTCCATCCAGGTCTCCCTCATGGGTGAACCTAAGGTGAACCTAAGGACTTGGCCTATCTTCTGCTTCTTTCCATGACGTATTAGTAGGGAGCTGGATTAGAAGTGGGGCCGCCAGGATATGACCTGGCTAATATATGGAATGCTGTCTTCCCAGCCAGCAGTTTAACCTACTGGTCTACAATGCTGGCACCTAACAAGACAGCTTTAGCCAGTACCCTGTTTTCAGACATTATTTGAAGAAGATTCAGGCAACAGTGCTTGTCATCCCCCAAGCTCTAGGGTGTATGTATGCAATTTATCTGAAATGTTATTTCTAAGCCCTATTAATTTATCTTGAAAGAATCAAGGATGTTATTAAATCAAATTTATGAGAAGGCATTGATTTGAATGAAGCTCCTTCACTGGGCTGCAAGAGTCACTCATGTTAAAGTTTCAGATCACTGAACTGAAAGTAAGTTACTTATCTGACTTTCCAGGAAATTAGGGG